GTTTTCATATAACTCCTATACCCCTGGACCCCTGAGTTTCCTCAATGACTAACATTGCGTATTATTAGTGTGGTACATCTGTTATGGCTCATGAACCAACACTGATACATTATTAACTAAAGCTGGGATTCACTGTTTGTGTTCTATGGGTTTTATGGGTTTTGACAAGTGCCTTAATGTCTTATGGATCCACCATTATAATACCATCCAGAACAGTCTCCCTGCCCTAAAAATGCCCTGTGCTCCAACTATGTATTCCTCCTCCCCTCCCCCTCAGTCCCTAGAAAACACTGATCTTTTTACTGACTCCATAATTTTCCATTTTCCAGAAAGCCATATATCTGGTTATCATATAGTATTATAATCTTTTCAGACTGGCCTCTTTCACTTAGCAATATGCATTTAAGGTTCCTCCTTGTCTTTTTCATGGCTGGATAGTTCAAAATAATATTCCATTGTCTGGATGTACCAGTTTCTTTTTCCATTCACATCTATCTATTGATGGGGCATCTTGTTTGCTTCCAAGTCTTGGCCAATTAGGAAGAGAGCTACTAAAACAATGTGTGTGCAGGTTTTTATGTTAAATTTCAACTCATTTGGGTAAGTGCCAAGGTGCATGATTACTGGACTGTATTACATTAGTTTTGTAAGAAACCACCAAACTAGCTTACAACGTGGCTGTTCCGTTTTGCATTCCCACCAGTAACGACAGTTCCTGTTGCTCCACATCCTCACCAGCATTTGGTGTTGTCAGTATTCTGTGATTTGGGCTATTCTGATGGGTGTGTGGTAGTATCTCGTTGTTTTAATTTGCAGTTCCCTGATGACATATGATGTGGGCATCTTTTCATATGCTTATCTGCCATCTGTATATCTTCTTTGATGAGGTGTCTCTTCAGATTTTTTTGCCCATATTTTAATTGAGTTGTTTGTTTACTTATCATTGCATTTTAAGAATGCTTTGTATATTTTGTATACTGCTCCTTTATCAGATATGTGTTTTGCAAATATCTTCTCCTAGTGTGTGGCTTGTCTTTTCATCCTCCTAACAGTGTCTTTAGCAGAGCAGGAGATTTTACTTTAAATGAAGTCCGACCTAAGTTTTCTTTCCTGGATTAGGCTTTTAGCATCATATCTGAACAGTGATCACCATACCCGAGGCCACCTAGGTTTTCTCTCATGTCACCTCTGAGAAGTTTCATAGTTTCGCATTTCACATTTAGACCTATGATCCATTTGGAGTTAATTTTTGCGAAAGGTATAAGGTCTGTGTTTAGATTCTTTTTTTTTTTTTTTTGCCTGTGACATTCACTTGTTTCAGCACAAAATCTGGATTTTATGTGAAAACTCCTGATTTTATGTGAAAACTACTTATTTTAAAGGCTGATTCACTCCTTATTTACTTATTTGTTTATTTATTTTTGGTGGTAGTGGTAGGGGAGGAACTACGACTCCCCCTCCCCTTAACACATGTCTGCAGGTGAAATTTACCCATCCTGGATCATCTCTGCCTCCCTCATCTCCCTTATCTGGATACTGTTCTTTGACTAAGTCTCCCCTAATGCCTAATTCACACTTTGTCCACCCCACCTTCCCCAATGCTCTGACCTGATGAGTGTGCTCACCAGACAGATATTCAGTTAACAGTTGCTGAACTAGGACCTGTAAGTCCCAAATAACATAGCCACATGCCATTGTCTTTCCTCCTTAGCTAGACTGTAAACTCCTGGGGAAGACGGAAATCTTCCCTTTCTGGTTTACCCTAGGTAGCTTAGCATGATGGACCTGGGCTCAAAATAAAGACAGCCAGACTCACTGACAATTTCGGACTAGCTGGACTTCTGTCCTGGCTCACAAGCTGTCCTTGGTCTTCAGGAGAGATGGCTCCTTCAGGAGTCTAGCTGAGCATCTGCCAAAGATCTAAACCCAGCAGCCTTGCCCTGGCATGGGTAGTGCGTTGGCATCTCTAATTTTGATGCCTGATTTAGCACCATGCTCACGTAAATAGGAGGGCCATGATCTCCTTGGAGAATTAGGGGAAGATTTGCCAATGATGCAGCAAAAAGCATTATTGGAGGGAGGTACCATTGTACCTTGAGTAACGAACATGTTTCTTTCATTATGATTTCCACATGGTCATAATGATCATCCCAGTCATTATGAAAAACAGCGAAAAAAAACAAAAAAAGAGTGAAATAAAAGGAACAGATAGTTTCCCAGTGACTGGAAACCTTATGCCTAAGTAATAGTCAAACTGATGGTAATCCTCCTACCCCTGCTTCTATCTCTCGTTTTCATCTGCATCGTTAAGTGTTCCCATTCAATGATCTCTGTACACTTCAAACTGAACAATGATGGAGGGAACAGAAGGGCCTAGAACTGAGGCTGAGTCCCACATGGTCTTGGTTGGTTGCAACTGAGCCTGAGCACTGTGGTGTGTCTGTGCCGACGGACCCGTCAGCGTTGATCAACTCAGGGAAAGTTCTGTGCCTTCCATCTGCCAGGACGGCCTAACTTCTGTCCTTGGTCTACACCCTGGCAAATCACAGGCAGGCAAAAAACACCAGGGAGGGAGGAATCCCAGAACATCGCCCCGCTGCCTTGGGTTTGAGAATCGGTGGAAAGCCTGTCTGCAGAGATGATGGGGCTGTGGTCCGGCTCTCGCTCAGGGCCACGGCAGATGCTGGCATCAGTGCTGGAATTGGCACTGCCTCTACCTCAAGAACAGTGTTCTTCGGCCTTAAGACTCACAGGCATCGGTCAGAGGCTTACCTGGCTCGAAGGGACAGCAGTCTTGCTGGAAACACACCCACGCTTGCATCTCCAACCCTCCTCTAGAGATAAATCAGTAGGACTATTCCTGGCACCCCCCTCCCTTTCCTGGGAAAGCCCCCCAGATCTGCACCCGGCAGGAAACAGTGCCCCTGGCTGGTGTGAGGTGGGCAGTGTGATTCTCAGTAAGTTATGAAAAACAAATCACATCTAAACACCTAAAAAATAAAAAAAATCCCAAGCATCCTCCTCCAGAACCCTTTTTAAAAGACATATCCTCCTTTTCCACGTAGCTGCTCAAGCTGTGTGAAGTGGGCAGAGTGATTCCCAGTATGTTACGAAAAATAAACCACATCTAGACACCTAAAAAGTAAAAAATCCCAAGTCTCCTCCTCCAGAACCCGTTTAAAAGATAAATCCTCCTTTTCTACTTGGCTGTTTAAGCAACCTCTTTGTACATACTGTACTCGACAGTGACTCAGGGGACCACAGCTACAAGTCACTGAAAAATAAAGATTAAAGACCACTAGTTGGTACTCGCTAGCCAGAATCAGGGGATGTTAAGCAACCTGGGGTAGAAATTCAACCTTGCTCATGCTGAGCAACAAAGAACTGTAGCAACTGCTAGGTACAGAGATTTAAACCAACTGGAGGAAATAAAATAAAAAACCAAAAACGAAACAGAATCTCCTTAACGTCTAGGAAAGCAGGTCCAGGAGAGCCTGGGAAAGCCACACACCTGGAGACAGGGAGCAAGGCCAGCCGCGGAGAGCTGGAAGACACTTACTGCCCGTAAGCCGAACAAACTCAATTATTTTGAGTTGAAGCGCTGGTCCACTTCTAGCGAACAAACACACTGCCTACCAAACAATGGACAAGTAATTAAACCTCCTGAACGTCAGTGCTATTTGAAGCTGCCAACAACGAAAAAGAGACCTGACTTTCTCAGTTTAAGATTTCATCCTATACCGCAGTTACATTATAAGAACCTCTGAAGTCCATTTGGGAATCATTTTTCCTCCCAAGCATTTAATATTCCTTAGTGTCTTCTAAGGCAAAAATTTTTGAACCCATTTTGCATTAAAAATATCTTTTTAAAATTAAGAATTTTTTTTTTTTTTTTTAAATATGGGGTTTTGCTGTGTTACCCAGGCTGGTCTTGAACTCCTGGCCTCAAGCGATCCTCCTACTTTAGCCTCCCAAAGTGCTGGGATTTCAGGCGTGAGCCATCGTACCTGGCCAGATCTGTAAATATCTTAAAGAGCTAGAATGGCAAGGTGCCATGATGCAAGCAGAGCCTGCAGAGGAGCAGGAAAAGGTTGCTGACCTCCTGGTATCTCATCCTCAGGCTGGTGTCTCACCAAGTGAACAACTGCCCTGAAGACGGTCTGTGGCTGAACCTCAAACCATTTTCACTAGAGAAAGGCAAAGTCAACTCTGTTTTTCCTGAGTCTTATATAACCGTAGCCTGAGCGTCCAACTGTTCTGGTCATGGCCTCACATTCTTTCTGCAAAAGCTCTGGTTGACAAGATTTATGGGGTGGTCAGAAGAAGCATGCTAAGCACTGTGGGATGAAACCACAAGGGAGAACTTTTTGGTTCTAGCAAAGTAGATCTAAATTCCATGGGGGATAAAACAAGCAGCCCCCAAACTGTCTTTGCTAAGGGTGCTCAGTGCTCAAAAATGAAGCAAAAAGTGTCTTTTCTTTTACAGTCTCTGCTGAGAGATCACAGACCTGCTAAGGTATGATGACATGAAGACACAAAGGACTACTGGGGGCTCTTCTTTGCGGACATGGGCACAGCACTGCACATTCCCAACACAGTAGGGGAAAGGGAAACGGAGACAACATGAATGAGTGAAACAGACTTGGCTCCTGATCTACTGAGCCACTACAGGCCCTGAATGCTTGTATAACTCAAAGAAACTGCTTTTCATGCCCAGCAGCCAGCACAGGCAATAGCTATCACCAAAGCCATCTCAGCAGTACAATAAATCAAAGATCATCAAGGCTAAGAAGCAGTATGTTAAGAATAATGAACCCCACTTTGAGATGATGATGCTTAAAAAAACCCACAACAAACCCGCCAAGCTCCAAGTTTAGGGAAAAGGTTTAAATAACATTGACAGGACAATGACCCAAAGTCGGACGGAGCCAGAGAGCAAGCTCTGGGCAGAATAGCCAACCAAAGCCCTTGTGTGGCGGGCCGCTGGACATCCTACTTACAGTGAGTTGGGCCGGGTGGGTTTGACCACATCCAGGTCTGGGTCGCTGGAGTTCATGTTGGGCTGTAAGCTGCTGCTGGAATTAAGGATGCTGTTTGGGTTTGATGAGACAGATTCCAAACTGGAATTGATGATGCTGTTCCTTTGCTCTTCTGGGGGTGGGAGAAAAAGGCCAAAAGCCATGTATTAGTATTACTACATAGACATGATCTGTCCCTACATGCACAAAATTGTACAAATATGAGACTGAATTGAGATCTCTGATCCCAGTGAAGCTCAAGAAAGGACAAAGGAAAGGGTAAGAATTCAAAGTAGGAAAGGAAGAGTCAAGGGGCAATAGCTGACTTGAAACTTTACAGCAAAATCCCCTCCTACTGTTAAACAGGATATTCCTTCCCTTTAATCTAAGCCAGAATTTCTCCTAAGAGTGGCTCTACCATAGCACCATAAATTGTGTCCTTTTTTGACCAGCAAGAACATAGAACAACCTTCATAGACCCCTGGCATTCAACCAGATCCTCTTGGCTTCTGTGACTCCCATTTTTTATTCTAAATCTCCTGCTTCTAATATTGTCCTAACTGATCAGGCCATATCCTACCTCCAACTATATGGCACCTCAGCACAGAGTATCTACTATTTGGCCATGAATTTCCTTAGGACTCAGCCAGTCTAAATTCCTGACCCACGCCCTAGACACATCCTTCTGTGTTGCCTCTAGCGCCATGCATTTGATGTGTAACTTCAAATTAATTCTTTGATGAACAGATCTGTAACTGGCGGCAAAGTAGTCTGCATAGACACAAACAAATGAAAAGAACCTAGTCCACAGTCCAAGCAGTCATGTTTATGCTTGGAGAGCATTACCGAGAAACCTGAATTCTCTTCGAGACTCCACCCCTGACTGGCTGTGTGGCCTCAGGCGATTTCTACTGAAATCTGGGATTCTTGGTTAAGGAATCTATAAAATGGGGAGACCGAGAACTGCCTTGCACGGCTTGCAAGGCTGTCATGAGGATGAAGTGGGATCATGCGCAGGAATGCTATTTTGTAAACTTTAGAATATTGCTCAAAGAAAAGAACTTTCTGTCTCTCCCCATCTTTAAAAACTTGGAACCATGCATTGAAAAAAACATTTTGGGGGATGATTTAGCTAAATAGCGCAGGCACCACTGCTGTAGCAAAACAGCATAGGCTTGAAAAGTCATTCTCGTCCCCCATTCATGACAGGCGTACCCTACTGAAATAAACTGATGTTTTTGGCAAGTGACTCACTTACATATCATTTCCGGGTTAATCCTCACTGGGACCTTTTTGAAATGAGCTAGAGGTTTACTATATCCCTAAGAGAACAGACTAGAATCACTGGCCTGATAATGTAGAGGTCAACATTTGAACTCAGGTCTCTTTAGGCAATAAAGAAGGGGTTGTCATAAAAATACTTTTCCCTTTGCACTAGTCATGTCTGTACAGATAAAGTATGCTTATGAAACGTTGTTAGAGTAAGCGTCACATTAAATACACACTCAAGCCCTCAACACCCCCAAATACCTTAGCAAATTCTTAATGCCCTGGATAAAGTCCATGGGAGAGAGAAAAACTCTCTGGGCTATTGGGAGAGTCCTGAACGGTAAGCAGACTTAAAAAAAAGTAGATTATTAAATTGATGCCTTAGATTTAGAACTGCTCATATTTTAAGAGCTTAAGTTTCAAAGTGAGACAACAACAAAGAAAGAGAAACCAAAAGAGTTACATCGAGCCAAGATGTAGGAGGACTAACAGAGGCTGTACACGGGAACTTGCTATCAGGAAGAAAAACAACAGTAAGATTACATAATTAAGGGATCATTGAGAGAATGGGTATGCCATTTATCAGTATGAATCACTGTAAGTAAAATTTTCCTTTTCATGAAATACTCATACAAAGATTTCTGCAAGATTACGAAGAGCCCAAGACCAACATATAAATAAGGGGAGTGAAGATGACACTTTGGGCTTCAACTGGAGACATTTCCTGCTTCGTATGGGAGGGGAGAGAAACAGTTTTATTAACTCCCATTTGAGAAGTCTGAAGGACCAAGTCTGCATGACATGACACCTTGAATTCCTAGGAAAGAGAAGAGTTGAACTATAGGCTATATTTCTCCTGTGATTATATTTACTTATCCATGAAAGGGCTATGATTCTACAAACTAAAAACAATACCGTGTATCAGTCTTTCTAAAATGTTACTGGGACATTCTTTTTCTCCCTTGCTATCCATTAGGAAAGGGGAATATAAAAAATGTATCATAAGGTCCATAGGTTTGCAGACAAGATAGCCAAATATGCATCCAGAGAGACAGACTATTGGTATCCCTCACTGGGCCACATGAGGAGGAAATCTAGAAGCCTGGTACTCCTCGACTACAGACTACAAAATAAATCTCATTACCTGCACACTGTAGGTAATGAGAATGAGAACTTCCAGGTGGAAGATCTAAGCCGAAATGCTGACAATCTTTCCTGAGGGTGAGTAAGAAGGTGAGGATTATTCCAGAGAAAGCAGAGACAGAATGAAGAATAAAATCAACAGCAAATCAAATGTTTTAATAGTTATGGCAAACTATACCAGGACAAATGCTAAAGCATCTGGAATAAGCTAAAAAATGAAGAGAAAATGATTTAGTAACATCACTTACAACAGGATTTTTTTTTTGGTCAGGTAGGCAAATAAGGACCTGCTCCTGACAGAAAGGCATGAGAATAGGCAGCCCAGAAGACTTTTTTTTTTTTCCTTTTAAAATAAAAATTAATCACATCTTTCAAAGAACAGAGCTGGACTCCCCTGAGTCACTGATGATTCGATCCAGGTCTGGTTTCCTCATCAGAAGGTAAAAGAAGGGCTGATGGCAATTACGTTGCTGCAGGGAAAAAATTATAGACTAGTGGGCTTCAAACGGAAAACAGCCCGTTATGAGTCAAGTCAACAGACCAGAGAGAACCATTAAATTACAAGAAGAGAAAGAATGAATGCCTGCAACTCAGGAGTATTCCTAAACCGGTTGAGGTCGGTGGGAATGCTTGCCTTCCTCAAACATGTTTGTCAACAAGAATCTCTCTTCGTGTTGCCCACAGAAAGCAGGTGCCCAGAAACAAGAAAATGATAAAATAAAATAAATTCCCCCAGAATTGTAAACATGCATTGGTAACGCTTTCATGAACATATGTTCTACAAGGAATGACAACCTGGATATGGACTTGGTACTTAAGGAAGCGATTACTCAAGGGCAAGGGATGTGTCGTCTGGCAACAGGGCATCCATCAAAGTGACTTGTGAGGTCCGTGTTAGCCATACATTCCCGGTCCCTAGCCTATGGCTCATTTGTACGAAAGCTCCAGAAACGGTTATGAGATGACTAATAAATATAAGGGAATAATACACAATCCAAAATTTTAATCTGCTGGAACAGAAACACGTAGTTATGTGTGACTCAATTTTTCAGGTGCTTCAGACAGGGGACCATTAATGTCCTTGAAACCAAAGCACTGAGGATGACGGTGAGCAGAGTTTTTATTTTTTGTACAAATCAGGAGTGGGGAAAAAAACATGAGCATGCAACCAAATCACTGCAACTAAAAGAGGAAAGCTGCAGAACAATTTTGGTGATATTGTACTTGTTCTGGGGGTTGCCATGGAAATCTGGGAGCTAAGCTACTTCACTTTCCGTATTTACTGAGAGACTCCGACTCACTCTAATGGCAACCCCATCACACGCGGGAGAGGCAGGATCTCTGTTTATCACAGAACCCGGAGGCGAGGCCAGGAAGGCACACGCAGAGCCAAGCCAAATCCACATGTCTTGGCAGGCCTGGACATGTCTGGCCCACTGAATACACAGAACTGCAGGGTAAATAGGAAACACAGATCTTCACGTTGGTGCTGGGAGATGTTTCCCACCGTGCGTGGAAGCCTGTCAGAAGACAGGCTAACATCCCAACTTTTCATGATGCCTGAGACCAGAGGGTAAGAAGAACAGGGACGAGGACTGTTCTTTAACAGCTGCTCAGGATGCCTCCCAGAGCCAAAAGGAGGGAACTCTCCCTCTCTCCACATGATCAAACAGGGAGAAAAGGGAGTTGCCAGGCAGATGGAAGTCTTGCAAAGACACAGAGCTTTCTACAGAAAGGAGGAAGGCAAAAGCAAAACACCCAGAGGCTTTCCCGTGCTATGGTCAGGAGAGAGGTGTACTCTCTCCTGCTCGTGAAAGTTTTGCAATGAAGTCTGTGATATATCATCTTGACAAGATAGGATGATAATAGCACGGCAGCTTAATGAATTTTGCAATAAAAAATGATGAGTGCACAGCAATTTCTGAGTTTACCATCTCTGGGAAACACCCAAGTACATGGGAAGCTTGGAATCCGACTTTCTGAAGCAATTTTTTTTTTTTTCCTGTAGCTTTTGCTACTGAAAAGAATGGCATGCCAAGCCATACCCAAATCTCAGGTGGTCTGGTTTCATGCTGACTCAGTCTCAGTCCCTGTGATAAAAATAATCTTAAAAGCAGTTTGGGTAATGTGCTTGGGCGTATAAAAACAGTTTGGGTAATATTTTAAAGAATAATCTTAAAAAGCAGTTTGGGCAGTGATGGACTACACAGTAAGATGACAAGTGAAAAATATAGTCGATCCGTTGTTTAATATCACAGCACACAGTCCGTGATATTAAAACGTTTGCCAGTTGTCTTCAGCAAAACCACCTCTGATTTGGGTCCTGTGTGGACTGACTGCCTTATACTTTCCCAAGGGCACCCATAATAACCCTTTTCTTTGCAAAGGGGGAAAAATGCCAATAAAACTGGATTTCAGGAGACAAAAAGAGAATGGGGAAGTCACTGTGGCTGGCCCAGGGCTGAACTGATTCACAGGAAGGAGACAGAGGAGGCACAGCAGGGAAGCCTGGCCTTAAAACAACGTTTCAGAAACCACAAGGTAGAGAGGAGCCTCTAATTAACGGCTGAATGGGGAGTTGAATGATCCAAGTTTAATGGTCACTCAACTACTTTCAACATAGCCCTCTTTTCTACCTGAGAACTAAGTTTTCCTTTCCTGTTAACCTGCGATTGCCCAGTATCTGAGGCACTCGACATACTGCTTACTTTCTTGCTCATC